CAGATTAGCAATTTCTCGAGCAATTAACTGTGAAACGAGGGCAGCCGTGCTGTCGAGTGCAATGGTTGGCACACCGATTCGATTCCATCTGCCGGCGAGGAACGTCGAGACAACGGAGCAGAGTTTTTCTCTTTGTCTATTGTTTGTTTGTCAATTGTTTTGTTTATTGTTTTGTTTATTGTTTTGTCTGTTCATTGTTTTGTTTTGTCCGTCCATTGTTTTGTTTGTCCGTCCATTGTTTTATTTGTCCATTGTTTTGTTCGTCCATTGTTTTGTTTTGTCCGTCCATTGTTTTGTCCGTCCATTGTTTTGTCCGTCCATTGTTTAGTTTGTCCATTGTTTAGTTGTCCATTGTTTAGTTTGTCCATTGTTTTGTTTGTCCATTGTTTTGTTTGTCCATTGTTTTGTTTGTCCATTGTTTTGTTTGTCCATTGTTTTGTCTGTCCATTGTTTTTTTGTCCATTGCATCCCGAGCGGTATAAATGGTCACCAGAGTCGTTGTTTCTCTGTGTGCCTGTGTGTGTGTCGCGCTCTCTCTCTGTGTGTCTGTGTTATCTCTCTCTCTGCTTGTGTCTGTCTATGTGTCACCGTGTCTGTGTTTTGTCTCTCTCTCAAATTTAGCACTCTTTGGAAGAACGCTAATCAACCAGGTAGGGTGTTGACTTATGTTAGCCCACTCTGTGTTGTATTGCATTATATTTCTCAGTTTACTAGGTTTGTTTTCTCTTTCATTCGTACCTGATGATCATTGCTTGTGTTGCAATCGAAACGCCGTATGCTATTATTTAACCGTATTTTTCTTTACACGTGACTTTACCGACATAACCAAATAGTAATTCCTGCAGTCACGAAAGCTCCAAATCAAGTTTGGTCCCCAATAATTGAGAGTCATCCGGTAGGCACGGCGGTCGCTTGTGCTGTGGGGAGTAAAGAGGTTTGGGGGGGGGGGGGATGGTGTTGCTCCCCCCCCCACCTCTGCCACGTCGTGCGGTCGACCCAAACGCCACTCCGAGGCTCCCCTCTACCGGGAGGGCCCTTTCCGTCAGCGGTGTCGCAGCGCGAGCGATTGCGGTGCTGCGCTTCGACACGTCGGCCGAGACGTCGGCTGAGACACGGAGGAGCGACGCCACGAACCACGCCGGTGACTTCGGTCGCCGTGCGGTTTTTTTCTGCCGCTTGTGGTTTTTGGCAAACCCAATGAATGTATCTTGGTCCACGGGTGAACGGGAAGGCGAGGGTGGGGTGGTAGTGGGGGGGGGTGTGGTAGTGGGGGGGTGGTGGTGGTATTAGGGGGGGTAGTGGGGGGGGTAGTGGGGGGGGGGGGGGGGGGGGGTGGTGGTGGGGGGGTGGGTGGTGGGGGGGGGGGGTTGTGGTGGTGGGGGGTGGTAGTGGGGGGGGGGGGTGGTAGTGGGGGGGCTTCAACGAGATGGCAGGTGGAACTGTGCAACGTGAACTGGGACGACAGGGGGCAGAACACTTCGGGTGCGTGGCGGCCGTTGTTTCTGGTGTCGTGACCTCGGGCCATAACCCCCCACCAACCCCCCCACCACCCCACACCTCCCACCCCCCCAACAACACCCCCGTCTCCCAACTAATACCACCACCTCCCACCCTCCACTACACCCCCCCACTACGACCCCCCCCCCGTACCACCACCCCCCCACACTACCAACCACCCCCCACTCACTACCACCACCCCCCACACTACCACACCCACCCCCCCCCACTACCACACCCACCCCCCCCTACTCCCCCCCCCCACACTACCACCATCCCCCCCCCACTACCACCCCCCCCACTACGGACCCCCCCCCACTACCACCACCCACCCCACCTACCACCCACCCCCCACTACGACCACCCCCCCACTACCACCACCCCCCCCCACTACCCCACCACCCCCCCACACTAACACCCCCCCACTACGACCCCCCCCCCCACTACCACCACCCCCCCCACACTAACACCCCCCCCCCCACTACCACCATCCCCCCCCCCCCCTACCACCACCCCCACTACCACCATCCCCCCCCTACCACCACCCCCCACTACCACCACCCCCCCCCTACACCACCACCCCCCACTACACCACCCCCCCCCCACTACGACCCCCCCCCCACTACGACCCCCCCCACCACCACCCCCCACTACCACCACCCCCCCACTAACACCCCCCCCCACTAAACCCCCCCCACTACCACCACCCCCACTAAAACCCCCCCACTACCACCACCCCCCCCACTACTACCACCACCCCCCCCACTACCACCACCCCCCACTGCCACCACCCCACCCCCCTACTACCACCACCCCCACCGCCACCACCCCACCCCCTACTACCACCACCCCCCCCCCCCCTACTACCACCCACCCCCACCCCCCCCTAATACCACCACCCCACCCCCCTACTACCACCCCCCCCACTACCACCACCCCCCCCACCACTACTACCACCCCCCCACCATTACCACCAACCACCACTACCACCACCATCAAACCACCACCACCATCAACCCACCACCACCATCCCGCAATAATGACCCGGCGTGGTGAAGTATGGTCGCGTTCAATCGAGTGCAGCAACAACTACGAGACGACGACGATCCACAACACAGCACGTAGGGTGGACACCTTCCCCGGTCGCCACGTGAATTGATCGAGCGTAGCCATCGCCCGGCTGCAATCTGTGGAGAGCTCGGTGGCCGAGGACAACACTTTCATCACTTTGGTGACTCGAGTCGAATGTTTCCAGTTAGTAAATTACAAAAGGTTCATATTTCCAGCCAACCCCCCAAGTGTACTGTATTTATATATATATTATTTTTGTGTTCCATGCAAACACAACAGCCACTTTGTAAATCCACTGCTGGATGAATGCCCGTCGAGCCGAGGCACGGGGATTATTTGACCGTACACTTCGCCACGCTGGTCGGCCAGTGAAGGCCGTGGGTACAACAAGATGCAGGGGGCATAGAGGTACAGTACAGTAAACAAATGCATGGGAGTTGCACTGCTCTAGCTTTCCCACCCCGCAGCCCCCCCCCCCCCCCCCCCCCCACTATTTGACTAAGCGGTGGGTGGTATGGTCGTCTCCGCCATACCGAAGCACCAGGCTCCACAAGGCTCCACCAGGCTCCACAAGGCTTTACAAGGCTCCACAAGGCTCCATCAGGCTCCATCAGGCTCAAAGCCCTTGTCGAGGCTTGGCTAAAGTGGGGGACGCATCCCGTGTCGCGTTATTTAGGCGTTTCACGCGTTGAAAGTGCGTCACAAAATCAGATTTATTTTAACTGGGAGGAATCCGATCATCTATGAAGCTCTTTGTTCACAGATGGTGGCTGAGAAGGGCTCACATGACCAGGAGGGGGTGGGGGGACGAGGGTTCCCAGAACCCCCGTGGCCTCTTAAGGGGGTAAAATGCAGGGGGTGGCGCTACGGAAAAGCTTAGACTCCCCCCCAAAGCGCTCGAGACCCCGGATTCATGGAAAAAAATAAATGATGCAAAAAATCTGCTTCAATTCACAGGCTAACAAGTAAACCCGTAAAAACAAAGTTTTTCACTATAAATCCTTTATATGCGTGGCATCGGGGCGGCTAGAGTCCTCTCGTCCTCTGGCTTGAGATGGCTGCCACCTATGGGTCAGATGATTGCCTGCCACCATTAAGCAATTGGTAATTAAATATAATTTATTTTTTCCTAAAAAGTGTAAAATGCATTGTCACGCACAACAAGTCTGTGTGCAAAATGTCAGCTCGATTGGATCACGGGAAGTGGGTTAAAAAACGACCGAAAGATTTGCACGGTCCTAAGCAAGCAAGCGAACTTAATATAAAGGATTTGATAAATACGAACATCAACGTAACGCCCCAACTGCGTCTCTCTCTCGTCCTCAGTTCTCTTCGTCTCATTCTCATGACGCATCCATCTCCCCGTCGACATCTCTCATTCCACCGCATCTCGCGGTCTCATTCTGTACCATCCCTCAACTCCACTGCTCTCATACTCTTAGTTCTTTCGGTTAAAGTCACGTAGGTAAAAAAATGAAATTAAAATTAATAAAAAATAAAAACAATAAAATCACGACGTTTCCGGAGGCAACACAAGCCTCCATCTTCAAGTGAAACTGTCACAGCAAAAAAAAATCTGTATCAAGTGGAGACAGAAGTCCCAAGACTTCTCTCCACTTGATACAGATTCACTCCTCTCGTCTGTATCTCCTCCGTCACCTCGGGAGTTTCAACACCGAACGGGTTCGGTGGATTTGGGGGGGGCCCACCCGCCCCAGTCAATCCGCCATGAAGCCCCCCCCCCTGCTACCCAATTTTTTTTTTGCCACAGCATTGGCAAATGGGGGGGGGGGGGGTCCACACAATAATAGAGTCAGTGTTCAAGCAGCAGGGAGCCGGCGTTGTTGTGCGAGCATCGCGATTGAGAACAGTGAGATCCCTGTACTGCCGCGTCCAGAGACTCCAAACGTACACGCGCGCGTGCCCCGGCGTTTGTCAATTACGTTACAAACTCTTATTTTCTCGGCGATGGGAGAGGGTTGGTGGGTGGGTTGGGTTGCAAACAATAACACATATCCAAGCGAATAGCGCATTAGCAATCATAACAGCGAGGGGTTAAGACAAAGGGAACCGCAGAATGCGGAGACTTTGCGCAGCTTATCAAAGCTGGCGGGCGTTTAACATTTTTCGGAGTTGTTCGCTCTTGCAAAAAAATGTCTCTTTCTAATGCTCGACGGTTGAACATCCGATCGAAATCTTCGTCGCGCGCAAGTCCTCTTCGTCAATTCCACTGCTGGATGATGGCCTCTCTCGCACGCTTTGCGGGTCGTGGAGGCCATCCGACCATACCTCGCCACGCCGGTCACGCTATCAACAGCATCGTCAATGAACGCAATCGTCAAGGACAGAATAACAAAAAAAAACACGCAAACGTTCAGCCACGCACCACCAAACCAGACCAACAAGCGCGCGCGCGTTCACACAAAACTCACCCTGCGCTCCGACAGCTTCCCCCATCATCACCATCATCAGCAGCAGCACCTCCATCGCCACCATCATCACCATCCTCATCCGCAGCAGCAGCAACGGCGGCGGCGGCATCAGTGTTCGGGCTCGTGGGTGAGGCTATCTAGCCCGGCGCGTCGTGCCTCCCGTGTGCGTTCTGCATGGAGCTGTGGGGGTGACGCGCGCAAACTGCCTCCGACCCCAGCCGTAGCAGCGCGCTCCGACTTTTGTGTTGATCTTGCAATTAAGTTTGTCGTGGTATGAAGAGAGCTCCTTTGGTTGCTGCCCCGCCCCCCTTAAGTCACCTCCGCACCCTCCTCTCTGTCTATCTCTCTCTCTCTGGGTTCGTTATCTCCGCAGAGAGAGATGGGCGAAAGCGATGGACAATGAGAGGACTGCGTGGAGGCAAGCGCGCGCGTTGGTGCTGGGTCCGCGTGTACGGGAAGGTGATGCTCCCGTGAACCAGAGTGAATGAGCGTGTTGTTTCGGGTTTGCTTGAGTGGGGGTTGGGTCGAGTGGGGGGGTGGGGAAGAGGTGAGTGGTGGTGGTGAGGGGAGGAGATGAGAACTGGGGTGGAGTGGGTGGGAGTGGGGGTGCGTATACGATGCGTGGCGCGCCCTGTGTGGATCGTGAGCGCCCCCAAGGTAAACCTCTCCGCTTTGCGCTTCTGCTCAATGGCTCACGACGACCGCAACAAACAGCACAAGACTGCCGCTGGCTTGCTGGCTACTGCTGTGCCTGCGTGCCACGCAATTCTGGGGTGGGGAGGGGAAGAGGAGGATGATGGAGAGAGGGTGGGAGGGGGGAGAGAGAACAGTGGTGGATGAGTAAACAATTGAATGTGATTACCGCGTGCTCCGATTATAGGGCGAGCATTCTTCCCTTATTCAAAAGGCTAGGGCCGGTCGAGGCGGTTGGGGGGACGGTGCGTCTTATAATCCGGTAGGGGTGTGCTGTGCACGCGCGTGTCCGTGTGTCTGTGTGTGTGCGCGCGACCAAATTTGTATAACTTCATTTGCACCGGGGAACACGTTGTTGTGCTGCGTCTTAGTTTCCGGAGCGTTCTGATGAATCTAGAGAAGACGGCCAATCGTTACGTTCAGGCGGCAAGGGATAAAGTACACGCGTTCAACAAAGAGACAAAGATCACCCGTATAGCCTGGCACAGACTGTTGGGGCAAGTGCTGTGAGCGAGCACCTATAAAGATCGGCACGGCACACGAAGGGGTGGGTGGCCAGCACCACGCCCGGCCGCCTTTGTCTCCCCAGTGGCGATGTTTACGCACCGCACCAGGTACTCCCTTGAGGCCGAGTCGACCTAGGGGAAGCCCTGGACCGGTTCAGATAATCATCACCGGTGTTGGCCGTGAGCGGGCATCGAAACATACACACACACACACGTGCGTGTGACTTGCTGCTTAAGGGATTCTTTAGCTCGGCGACAGCGAGATGATGATGATGATGAGACTGTGGGGGGTTGACGAGTCACGCCGCCGCCGCTGCCGCCCCTCACTGCCCACCCGAGGCGTGGTGCACAAAGCCGTGGTGGCCTCTGTCGGGGTCGGGCTTGGGGGCTGGTGGTGATGATGAGATGATGGGGGGGTGTGTGTGTGTGATGGGGGGGGGGGGGTATGATGGGGGTGTGTGTGTGTGATGGGGGGGTGTATGATGGGTGTGTGTGTGTGTATGATGGGTGTGTGTGATGGGGGTGTGTGTGTGTATGATGGGGGCGTGTGTGTGTGTGTATGATGGGGGTGTGTGTGTGTATGATGGGGGTGTGTGTGTGTATGATGGGAGGGGGGTGTGTGTGTATGATGGGGTGTGTGTGTGCATGATGGGGGTGTGTGTGTGTGTGTATGATGGGGGTGTGTGTGTGTGTATGATGGGTGTGTGTGTGTGTGTATGATGGGGGTGTGTGTGTGTATGATGGAGAGGGTGTGTGTGTGTATGATGGGGTGTGTGTGTGTATGATTGGGGTGTGTATGTTGGTGTGTGTAGCAGTGAGCGCAATGCGCTACGAACCTGGTGACCCGAGTTCGATTCCCAATCATGGCCAACACCAGTGACGATTATAATCGATCTCAACCGGTTCTGGGCCTCCCCTAGGTCGACTCAGCCTAAAATGAGTACCTGATGCGGTGTGTAAGCATTGCCACTAGGAAGACAAAGGCGTTCAGGCGTGGTGCTGGCCACCCACCCCCTCGTGTGCCGTGCCGGCCTTCATAGGTGCTCGCAAACAGCACTTGCCCCAACAGTCTGTTACAGCCTAAACGGAGCATCTTCGTCTAAGTCGTTGTATAATCGCCCAAATGCAATCACTTTCTCCTGTTAATTAGCCAATTCAACGGCAATTGAACAACACACAGCACACGCGTGTCCATGCAGGCCATAAAGCAATGACAATACACACACACACTCATTGTTTTTTTATAATGCACGGGGCACTGCTTTTTATAAGGAGTGATTTGGCCAATAACAGCGGGTAATCAAGCAGCATTTGCTTCACAAGCCCGCCTGTTGATGCAACCCAGAATGTCAAGTGTATATATATATATTTTAACCAGTTGAGAACTCCAGAAATGTTACAGCTGACCCAGAGTTTGCCTGCAACCGTCAGGCTTTCCTACCTACTGAACTAACTAACTCCTCACCTAATTGCTGACATAACTGCTGACCGAGACACCAATGGACTGTTCGACTGAAAGAGATCTTCCCTCAACTGTGGAAGCAGAGAAAATCCGAATATCTGTTTTCGAATATGTAGTTATACCTGAGAAATCCGATGAGCTATGAAGCTTTTTTTCACAGATGTGGAGTCGGGGCACGGGGTGGAGCCGGTACAACAACAAACACTACAAAAACACGATGGGAGTGCAGAGTACGAGAAAGATAAACAAATCACCCGAACACATACGAATAAAACTAAACACATCCCCATCCTCCTCTTAGGTTTTTTCGGTAAAGTCACGTAGGTAAAAATAAATAATAAAAGTAATAGAAATAATAATAGAAATAAAATAATAAATCACGACGTTTCGGAGGCAACACAAGTCTCCGTCATCAAGTGGGACCGTCACAGCTAAAATTTACTGTATCAAGTGAGGCAAAATTCCAAGAGACAAGCTCTTAAATACAGAAACAACTACTTGAAACTCCGATCAAAACTATCACGTTGCCATACAGACAAAGCCACAAATGAACCTCATGGCGGGAACCCGGGGTCCCATAAGCCCCCGGCTCTCGCATAAACTGCGTTGCAACGTCATTTTATGCCCGTTGAAGGCGAACGATACGGTGATCGATTCATCTCGAAGAGCTCTACACGATGCGCTAATCGAAGTTTCAAAGTTTTCTTTCTTTCTTCTGAGAATTCGTCCTCGCTGCTGCGCTTGGACACGACACGCCAACAGAATGATCCGCGCCAGGTGGGACGCGGCGTTTATGTGCGCGGTGGGACGGAGTCACCAACAATATAAATAATGACGATTTTGACTTCCGTTTATTTGGGACCCCGGGGTCACGACATAAGGTTCAAATGATTGGCTTGACAAAATGGCACCACCGTTTGGACATGTATAGCAACACATGGGGGGGAGGGGGAATGGAGGGGGGGATATACGTAGTGCGTCTTATAATCCGACGAATCCGGGTTTCCCTTCGGGTGTTTGGGCAAGAGAGACGGGTTGGTGGTGGTGGTGGGGCCTGGTTTTGGGACGTTCTCTTCCTGCGGCCCGTGATGTCTCTCGCAATGAGACAGACGATGGACGATCCCTCGCTCTCCTGCGCCCGGAACTCCGCACAGATGGCGACTTGCTCACGATCTCGCTAATTAGGGCGCGGCGTTAATTGGCTGCAGATGCGCCCCCCCTTACCGCCATCACACCCCCCCCCCCCGGTTCAGCCCCACGCGCTCCTCTGCGTAAGCACAGGCGTCGATTGAGAAAATACAAAAAAAACACGCGAATTTCCGCACGGCGAGTCGAGCTCTCGAGTGGATTGTTTGAAAAATGTTTTTTATAATGATGATGATAATGATTGCTGCCACTTTGTCAAAATCCATCGATGGATGAAGACCCCCCCCTCCCCACGCAGTGTCGGTCACGCGCCCGCTGTATGACCATACTTCACCACGGTGGTTGGTGCGGATTTGTGAAGGTGGGGTGGGGGGGCTTCTCACGACTGGTTCAGATATATCACTCGCCACTGGCGCTAGCCGTAGCGATGCGCTCACCCAGTGCACGACTCACGACGTTCTCAGGCGCCTCGAGCTCCTTAAGAAGAGCCGAGGTAACGTCACGCCTCAACCTCGCAAGCGATCGCGTCTTCCCATTTCCCTCCCGAAAAATTCGTAAATCCAAGAAACATCTTCTTGGTTCTTTCGGTAAAGTCACGTAGAAGGGAAATAATAAAATAATTCTCACGACGTTTCGGCCACAACGCAAGAGCGCCTTGACAAAACAATTTGCATATCAAGAGGAATTTATATGCAAATTATTTTGTCAAGGCGCTCTTCCCCTTCCAATCCAGCTTAAATATACGCTCCAAGCGTGGTGGTGTTTCATTCAGACGCTGTCTCCCCGACAGACCTGGTCTTCACCTGAGGACGGCTGCTTGCGTTGTGGCCGAAACGTCGTGAGAATTATTTAATTATGTTTTATTTTTATTATTTTATTATCTCCCTTCTACGTGACCTTACCGAAAGAACCAAGAAGATGAATCCCTGCAGTCACGAAAGCTTTAAATCGAAATCCAAGAAACGTTTTTGGAGACGAGTGGGCCCAGCGAGCGGTCCGCGCGCGGCGTGAACTCGGCAGCGTGCCGCTAATTGAACGTTTCACAACGTCGCCACGTGACCGAGTCCCAATTAAAAACATACGACGCCTCGGGGTCAAACTTCTGCTGTCCCCACCTCCTCCTCCTCCACCACCCCCTCCCCATCGAGGACAAAGGCACCGCCGATTACCCGCCACGACAAAGGTGGTGGTAGTTGCGAAGTAATTAAACGAATGACAATACGAGTCGATGTATGTCCATTAAGTGATATCGCCCTTTGTTAGCCCCCTCCTCCCTTGCCTCGCCAAATGTGGTTGCCGCTCCCCACCCAGCCACCCCCTTTGGCTACAGCGTCACGCATTGAGCGACGGAGTCTTTGACACTTAAAACAAAAGAATATTCCCCATTTATGACCGCGTTAATGTGCGTGTTGTTGTTACATAGCTATAGCAGCTAATGACACCATGGATACAACCGTTCCCCTTTGGACGTGAGAAGACATTCACCGTGCAGGGCTATTCTATCTTCTTGGTTCTTTCGGTAAAGTCACGTAGAAGGGAAGTAATAAAATAATAAAGATAAAACATAATAAAATAATAAAAATAAAACATAATAAAATAATTCGACGTTTCGGCCACAACGCAAGCAGCCGTCCTCAGGTGAAGAACATGTCTGTCGATAAGACAGAGTGTGAATGACAC